CGAGCATGAAGGAAGCAATCCATATCGGGTGCCGGCGGACCGGGCGCCGTACACGCTCGTCCAGCTGGGCGACCTAAAGCGGACGCGCGCGGTTTGACCTGGCAACTCACAAATTTTGGTTGGCTCGCTCGACATTTCATCAGAGGACCTTCGTATGAACCTTTTTCGGATCGCTCGAGCGTCTCAGGACGCACTTTGTGGAATTAACTTTGCGCGAGCAGCCACTCTGTATGGCCATGTAGCAATGCACTTTCCATTCCTCGTAAAAAAAGCGTCCATATAATAATAGGACAAGGGGCTCCGCTCGTCAAAGTAGACTTTGTTGTGGTGGCATTAGCCGAACCAAAACGAACTCCTGAAAAGCTTTACGAAATTCATCAAGAATACGGTGAACAAAAAGTTAAGAACAAGTGGAACCATCCGGAACCGAACGCAATCGAGCAATGCAGCGGTCACTCATGAAAACACAAAGAGATGTAACGGAGGCTCACTACAGGAACCAGGATTCCAAGACAACGAGGTCTGGCAGGTCAAGTCGTGTCGCATCACTTCTGGGTCTGCCCCGTGGCCCTCGGCACGGTGGGCCAAGTTGAATTGCAGATGGTGGCTCGGGTGAGCCGAGCAAAGCTCTGGCTGATGCAAGCGCCACCCCCTTGGAGCGCTGTGTGTAGGTGGTGGTAGTGTGTCCTGAGGTGCCTGTGTAGGTGACTTCCCCCGAGTTCTGCTTTATCCTTTTCCGGTGCAGTCGTGATGCGTCGCTGTTGCCCCTTGTTTGCCCCTTGTAGTGGTGGTCCCGCTGGGTGTCTCTGCATTTTTGGGTGTTCTGCTGGCGGGCTGTAGCTACTGTTAACTTTCGGGCATTGTGATGCGGGGATGCATTGCACCGACGATTCCTTGCACGGGGTCCGCTGTAACCTTCATTCATTCAGTGTATGTGAAGAAGTGCATGAATTCTCGGTCTTAGAGGGCATTGCGTTATGTGTGTGGTGTAGGGCGTGTTAGATTTCACACAGCACCTTTGGCCCTTCATCAGATTACATGCAGCACAAGTCACACGGCTGCCAGAGATTCACACAGATTCACACAGCGGCCTCCTTCATCACGCCTGCCTGGGATTCAAACATTCAGTGCTCCGTTTGGTGCTCCCGGAGTTGCATGCTCTGCGCGTTCCAGTAGTCTCTCTCAGGCTGTGACAGCTGCCGCCGCTTCAAGGCGATTTGCTTTGTATGCTCATGAGGCAGGGAGCTCTGTCCAGCTGCCGCTGCTTCTGCCTTCTGTGATTGCGTGAACAACATGTAGCCGTTTGGTACCTGCTTTGGCTTTGCCGCTTGACCACCCACGCTCTTCTTCCTGGCACGTGGATTTGTGACCTTCACAGCTGCTCCGCTATCTGTTATCAGCCTATAAAGAATCATGCCGTTTGCTTATGAATCTATCATGTAAGGGACATGCAACGACGTCAGAGGCAAAGGCTGCGGGGAAGTCAAACTCGAAGCCATGGAAAGGTATCTTCGTGCTCCGATTTATCTGAATTACCTCCTTTGGACAATCGATGTAGAATTGGTTTAGCTTTTCAACGCTATTTTCTGCGTAGCAAGATATGTAAGCCCCTGACAGACTGACTGACTGACAGCAGTGAACACCTGGCTCGGCCCCCCGAATGGCGCTTCGCGTCCGGGGCCTCGCCCAAAAATGGAGAAAAAGCAAACAAGGTCCCAAACAAGGACAAGTCGGGTGTCGGCTTCCTCGAAGCCGGAAAAAAGCGGGCCCCCCTGCATCCGTACAGGCCGGTAGCTAGCGCGGCACGTGTGACAATTGATGGGTAGTGTCAACGCGGTGGGAGACGTGCTTTGTTGCAGCAGTGCTGATGGTGTGAGAGCTAAGCTTGCACCGGCGGAACCGTCAGCACCGCCTGCGGGCTCCACGTGAATCGCATCCATCCCGGGTGCATGCCGCATGGACAGTGCGGCAGACCGCAAGTCGGAATGCCTGTGCGGGCAAATGGTAACGAAAGCTGGGTGAATTTCGGTGCTGTCTGTGATGTTTATCCCCGACGCGCCAGCGGCCTCAGCAATCCGCCCCACAGCCGCGGGCTTCATGGGGGCACACCGC